AGTAGCAATTGTAGTAGTAGTAGTAGTAGCAGTAGTAGTAGTAGTAGTAGTAGCAGTAGTAGCAGTAGTAGCAGTAGTAGCAGTAGAAGTAGTAGTAGTAGTAGTAGTAGTAGCAGTAGTAGTCGTGGCGGTGGTGGTGGTAGTAGTGTGTAGTGGTAGGGAGTAGGAGTAGGAGTCGGAGGAGGAGTAGGAGCGGTAGCGGCAGTAGCAGCAGCCGGAGGAGCAGGAGCAGTAGCAGCAGGAGGTTGAGGAGGAAGAGGAGGAGATAGAAGAAGAAGAAGAAGAAGTAGTAGTAGTAGTAGTAGTAGTGGTAGTAGTGGTGCCAGTAGGTGCAGCAGCAGCAGCAATAATAATAGCAGCAGGAGCAATAGCGGCAGTAACATTAAATAGCTGTAGTATTGGTGGTCGTGGTTGTTGCAGTACTTGCTGTTTTTTCTGTTGTGGCTGTTTTTTGCTGCTGTTCCTGCTCCTGCTCCTGCTCCTGCTCCTGCTCCTGCTCCTGCTCCTGCTGCTGCTGCTGCTGCTGCTGCTGCTGCTCGTTGTCGTTGTCGTTGCTGTTGCTGTTGCCGTTGCCGTTGCTGTTGCTACTGCTGCTGCTGCTGCTGCTGCTGGTGCCGGTGCGGGTGCTGTTATTGCTGTTGCTGTTGCTGCTGTTGGTGTTGGTGTTTGGTGTTGGTGTCGGTGTTGTTGCGGTTGGTGTTGCTGTTGTTGTTGATGCTGTTGATGTCGTTGTCGTCGTTGCTGTTTTTCATTTTTTTTGTTGTTGTTGTTGCTGTTGCTGTTGCTGTTTTTCCTTTTGTTGTTGTTGTTGCTGTTGCTGTTGCTGTTGTTGTTGTTGTGGTTGCCGTCGTCGTCGTCGTCGTGGTGGTGGTGGTGGTGGTGGTGGTGGTGTTGGTGGTGGTGGTGGTGGCTGTAGTCGTTGCAGCAGTGGTGGTGGTACTGGTGGTGGTGGCGGTGGTGGCTGCTGGTGGAAGTGGTGGCGGTGGTGGTGCTGCTGGTGGAAGTGGTGGCGGTGGCTGTGGTGGTAGTGGTCGTGGTGGTGGTGGTGGTGGTGCTCCTGCTGCTGCTGCTGCTGCTGGTGGCCACATAGCTGCAAGAGTAATAGTTGCTGTCGTGTCAAACATGACCCCCGACAGCTTATACCAGTTGAAGCAGAAACACGATCCACGAACTCGATGAACACTGGAGGGCGCTTGAAACCAAACGAGTAGCTGCGCAAATCGGAATGCGAACAACTCAGGCAACTAATAGATGTTGAGCTCGCAGGGTCAGCTGCGACATATTTCACACATAAAGGACATCAAATCAGGCGTACAAGCAGATCCACGACCACGCTGGACTCACCACGACAAGGACTGGAGCACAGCGAGCCTCGAGGACAAAGGCAATCTGGAAGCCCGTTAACTTCACCGTCACCATGTCTGGAGTCTGCAGAAAATTGCAGATTTGGTGCAACTTCTATAAATCGTACTTGCAGGATCGATCCGTGCGAAGCTTCCGACCGAGGAAACAAGCCGAAGAGTCATGCCTGCCTCGTGCAAATCAAAGTTCTCAGGTTTGAGATCCCTGTGGCACCTTGGCAGGTGTCTGTATAGGTGCCGAGTCAATGTCGAAGCGCATGGGGGCGGTTGGAGGGGTCTGTGTGTGGCACACCTTTGCTGCCAGGTGGAGGTGGGCCACCGCTTTGAAAATCTGCTGCAAGATCTGTGACCTCAACAGAATCAACGTGCGAGTGGAACCACGCTGGAACCACAAGAGGTTGTCGAAACACGGGGAAAGTTTGGCTCCGTTCCTGCATGCACGCTTGACCGAGGTGCTCGCGTCTTCAGAAACGACAGTGGCCTTGTTGGCTGCCGGATGAACACGGCCAGATGCTTCTCTTCAATTCCATGCGCCAGCCCGCATCACCAAGCGTCAGGAGTGAGAGCTTGGCTATTCTTCGCACATGGTTGCTTTGTCAAATCCCGCTAGGGACCACGGCCTTCGGCTCCTGCGGACGAGGCGGTCATGGAGGCTTCCAGCGCCGGAGTACCTGAGTCCATCTTCCCGTCAGTCCCAGGCTACGTGCTAGCAAACTTCTCGCATACGCACAGGTGGCACAGAACACAAACTCAGCTGGCTCACTCCATCCGCATTATGATGTGAGTCCTCAGTCTCACTGCAGCTCACAATGCAAACCCGCACGGCCGGCTAGGCTTCCGTCAAGATTCACCAGCTCGCAGCAAATGCAGGCACAGACATGGCTAAGAACACCACGGGGAATGGTAGATCTGAAACAGCCTTCCAACAGCGATGAGTGTATGTCCGCTTGTGGTCAGGCGAATGATGTGTTGCATGGTTGGATACTTTTCCCTACCAAAACGACAGAAATCTTCAACATTGCCACCACCAAACAAGTTGCAGGCCGGTGGCCTCTGAATGTTTGGGTGCTGCCACTTGTCGCAGCTAACCATCCAAAGAACATCCACCTGCACCAGATTTTTCTGGGATGTTATGTTCGCGGAACTGGAACCTTGCCGAGGCTGCGGCCATCCTCTTCAGTGACATAATGCCATTGATGTCTCGGATCGTGGATTTATCTACCTAGGCGTTCTCGGAGATGGATCGGTTGCAGCCACTGAAGGACTTCAAGAGACGAGGCCAGCATTGGCCGAATGCCTGAGACTCCCGGCAAGGCGTGCGACCTCGCGAGTCGTGACGCCTGTGCCTGTCACTCACGATGTTTCTGACCTTGCCCTTGAGCTTCTGCATGCACGTTTGCTGTCCCGTGTCAGGTTGCTGTCTTCACCGTCACTGTAGGCTGCAATTTCAGACTCGACCGCCAAACTCCTCCAGCCAACTTGGTGCCTACAAGGCCGGGGCTTTCTTGTCGTCGGCGGTTTAGACGATAAACCTCAGCGCAGCGATGGTTACTCCAAGGTCCGAGGTTTAACGAGGGCAGAACTGTTCTCCAAATCCACACGAAATGATCAAACTGCCGAGCTCAGGCCACGTCCACGCCGCTGGGAGTTCTGCGTGAACTGCCTGGAATGTGCAGGAGCATAACAGACATTGCCACACAGATGTGGCAAGTCGCGGGCAGCTACAAGTCGTGGCAGCTGCACCGAACGACCACCCGTCGATGTGGCTCGGGATGCCTGATGGACAGCGAAATGATGATGCTCCGTTCTCATCACGACGGAAGCTGTCTTGATCCTAGGATATCGTAGGCTTACTTGACACAAAGAGGCCGTTTGCAAACCGGCAATCTTTAGGAAGGAAGGCTGGACGACCCAGACCCTGGAAGTCTCAGCTCCAATCCTTGCTGCACTCTACAGGAGCAGGCGCTGAAAATGTGGAACCTTCTGGGAGATGTCTGTCACACGGCGGGACCACCGGTGCGAGCCTTGGCAAATCATTCTCGACAAGCGAAGGGCCTTCGGACGCCATTGCAGATCTTCCTGAGCATGTGGCCGATTGCGGAGATAGTCCCAAAGGAGGCTGTCGGTGTGCGCCTGCAGTGCAACTACAGGAGTTGCAGGGTCTGTGGTTGATCGGCAAAGAAATCGCTGAATGAATGTATTGTAGTATTGACTGAAGATTCGCACTAACAACCTACGGCTCAAGTGGATGCTTGACTGGCCATCACTACGACATCTCTGCCGGCCGGCTGTGCATTATTTCCAGCTCCTGCCCTAAATTTGGTGTCACAGGTTGGAGATTTGCAAATCCGGCAAAGAGGTCAGCAAAGGGTTCCAAAGCATCTTGGCATATGCCGGCCTTGAAGTACTCCACATTTTGGGCCCGGCGCTTTCTCTCGTACATGACCTCTGCCCTCAGCGTTGCGCCGGCACAGCAGAGCAGCCGTCGGAATCGCATTCTGAGCCCTGTGCAGAGTTTGCGCGGCGACTTCGAGCTTGCGCACCTGAGCATGAACGGCCGCAGATGACCTCCGGCCCAACGCAGTCGGAAAAATCGCCGAAGCCATGAAGCTCGTGGTTTCAACCCCTCAACGGAAGCCGCGCCTAAGGCTCTCGGGACTCAGGGGTAGGCCCACATTCGTGTAGTCAGCGCCAGGGCAGGTCCTTGTGGCCTGGTTTGCCAAGAGTTCTTATAGAAGAAGTGAAAAGGTTTCTGTCACAACGTCGAAGCACTCTCTTGGCACACGAGGTGTCTTGCCGTCGCAGTGAGAGTATGTACGACAAATTTCCCAGAGGGCTGCACTCTCCGGAGATGATGCCATCAAGTCCAATTTCCTTCGCAAGCGTGGGCTGCAAAGATGTGTGACGTTATGCGGCAATCGAAATCTTGAAGCTGTGGCAGAGTACATGCTCAGCAAGGTGAGGTCACGGCCATCAACTCACCTGAATTCCGAAGTGCAACACGTCAACTCCACCGCAACCGCTCACGTGTACTGGATGGTACTGTTTCGATCAAGTCAAGAGGCTAACCAAATTCCGCCCGTCGTTCGACAGCGTGTCGACAACTGCGTTGTGCGGCCGGATCTGTCGCAACGAGTGTTGGCTGGCTCTAAAGACGTGCACACCTGCATACATACTTCTTCCAGCGCCGCGAGAGAGGTCTCGCGCTGGGAAGGGCGGTAGCACCCGCATCTTCGAGCTACATGCCGCTTATTCGGCATCCCGGGGAGTGCTAAAGAACAGTTTCGTATGATACATGCATACCTACATACATTATGTTGACTTACGGCGGGTGCTGTCGCTGCAACCTCAAACATAGTGAGGCAACTGGGATGACCTACACCAACAAACAGACACAACAACGATGTGCATCTCAAAAGCCCATTCGGCATCGCTCCTTCCAACTGTTTGTCGCATCATAGCACGGAGGTCGGGAGCAACTCGCCATTCAGCGACAAGCAAGCACTGGCGGCCTCGGGGGTGACGGTGTGCGGCGCCCAGATCCTCAGCCACGAATTTCGCGAGATTGCATTGTGATGGCTGTGATGCCCACACAGACTGCCCAAACAGATTCTGCCGATGTCTGGGACGAGTAGAATTTCCCTTGGATGACCGGGTTGGTCGGCTGCTCGACAACTACAACTCAAAACCAGCAACATGGACCGAGCGACATGGGTGCTGCATCACTGCCTGCGGAGTCCATCGCCTGGAATGTGTGACGAAGCATTGGCATGGCTGCCTAGTCTTGTTGTACAAGTACATGTATCTGCTGTTGCAGTAGCTATTGCCGGTGCTTCGCCCAGGATTTGGGCTCATGCGCAGTCCCTGCCTGGACAAAGTCACGCAAAGCTGCCACCTGTTCGTGGTCTACATGCTGCGGTTCGGGCTACATTTAGTGACCGGTGCTCTTACTATGCTTGTTAACACTTTGAAACACCCACACCACCACACAAACCAACCCCTGCACTCAAGCTCTTTGCGCCAGCAGCAGGGCCTGCCTGCGCCTGGTCACTGGGACTGGCGAAAATGAAGACCGCCCTTCTGCCCTGCATTCGTCGTCCGCAGCTCTGAACTCATGGGGCAAAATCTGTGCTTGTTGTCTTTCCATGTGGCGAAGGAAGCCATGCAGCTGACAGGCAACGATGCATGACAGGATGCGCAATCGATTGCAAAAAGCATGTGTGAATATATGACTGATACGTATTCTGATAGGATATACGAGTGTGGCAATGGCGCAAGCGCAGAATGCGTCGCTAGGGGCTAGGGCCGTCCTGGAGGGCGGGGACGATGCTGCTCGGATCCTGGCCCTGGCAGTGGAGTTCGCAGGAGCGACGGGGCAAAGAGCGGAAGCGCAGCGGAGCAGCCACTCCCGCCCTCCCGTCCCGTCGCCTTGGCCATGGCCGTCCAGATGCTCTGAACGTCTGCCAGGGGGCTGATGTTGGCAACGCTCACGAAGTGCACCTGCGCAGGCCGTGTCCTACCGTGACAGGAAGCCGCAGGCCGATTCAAAGGAGACCCTAGATAGCTACTAGTTACGAGTGCCTGAACCGCACGTGCAGTGCCGCAGCAAGGCAAGTGTGTAACCCGACGCTGTAAGATCCGTGCGCCGCTGTCGAAGTCTGCCGGGCTCAGCCGCAACAGGCGCTGGTTCATCCATACTTGGGTCATGCCTTACATGGCGAAATGTGCGAGGCAGAGCAGAAAAATATGTGAAAGCCCTGAGAGAGCAATTCACTGATGCGACACAGACACCATTCAGACAAACTCGGTAAGGCCTCGTCCCACCAAGGGATCGACTGCGAAGTCACTGTTGCAGGTGGTGGGACATCGGACATGGTTTTTTCAGATCAGGACCGTTCGGACCGCATGAAGCAGTCCGTTGCCACGATTAGACACCGTCATTGCTTCTCTCGCTCAGATACCGCCTTGATTGACCTTGCTTGGCTGAAGTTTCCTGCTGCAGCTGTTCCAGATAAGTGGTTGCAGGAAGCAGCAACTTCCATGCCTTTCATCAGGAGTTGTGTTTCACTGCATAGTGCTGGGCTGAGGGGGAGTGTTCATGGCGTGGACATGAGCACATGGCATCAGTGAGCCGCCAAGGACTGGAGCCATTTTCAATGTCGACGGTGTGAACGTGCCACACAGTTCAGGCTGCATTGCTCAAGTTCCAGCAGCATTAGACTGACTACCAACCAACCTAGTCAAACTCCATCCTGCATGCAGCATCTTGGAAATTCACGGAGTTCGCCAAACATGACGGCAGTGACGGGTATGTAGCTCCTTCCTGTGTTCACATGGCATATGAGGAGGCACCCATGAAAGGATGATGCCGAGGACTTGGATCAGCAGGACGAGGCCCAAGGCTACGGTGAATCCCGGATCCACCTTTGTGCTTCACAGCAGCAGCAAGCGCAGCAAGAGTTCAACAGTGCATAGATGTTCATAGCTCGTGTCCCTCAATCTCTTCTTTAAGCTTCACAACTCGGACATCACGCGCGCTCAGCACTCATAATCACAGCATTGAGCTGCTTCACATCGTTTGTCCTGGCTCCTACTTCGAGGTTCCAGAGGCTGGGAAAAACCGGAAAGCAGCCTGGGAGTAGCTGAAGATGAGCGCCGCGAAGGCAATCAGCCTACAGTCAAGCAGCAAGCGTAGCATGAAGCAAGGCCCTCAGCAACATCGAACCGAAGGCGACTCACTTAAAGGCACAAAGCCCAAATCCACCTTTCGCTCTTTTGCGATTCCGTGGAAGCCAAGGGCAGGTCAGGAGAAGGCGCCCCACGAGGACGGCAGCGCGGTTCTGCTCGAGTCACAAAAGAAGCTTCTACTGGAAGTCAAAGCTAAACCAAACTCAAGAAACAAGCCCTTTGCTGAACCTGCGGTATTCTACGTGCAGTTCTTATGGCCTATGGCATCTAGTCCAAATGCTCGGGGAGCAAGAGTGTAAGCATGCAGTATGCTGTCGCGTGAAGCCGGGGTCGGCATGTGCTGGTGTGCAGGCTCGGTGTTCAGAGATTGGGTGAAAGCGTTGTTCACCTCTACGAAGAGCGTACTACTGAAGGGACTACGTTGCTTTTTGTCCGCCTGCCGTGACATGAGGTAGGCGATTGCGCAGCACATGAGCAGCCCACCGAAGAACACTGCCCACCTGGCTAAGTTGGTTGCCGTTCAGATTTCGAGTGCTTTCCGGCCCAACACTTGCCGAAACAAAATTAGCACAACTGATGCTGTCTCACGACTCTATCAACCACACCCAATCTTCAATCCACGTCCTCGAGACGTTATGACAGTACTGCACTCAGCCATCCAAATTGTCGCCGGAGGAGCGGTGGATGTACCTGCGAAGTCGGCAGGCTTCTGATGCCAGCAGAAACCGCAGCACAAGGAATGAGCCGTTTGTTTGTCAGGGGGCACCAACCAAAGCAGTGCCACTGCCACACCGGCCGTGCACAACAGCAGGCTCTGCGCAACCTCGCGAGCCAGAGGTGTGACATGGGAAAAAGATGCGGAACAATGCAGTCACTGAACAAGCTTGGCAGCCCGCAGCCGGGTCCACGCCACCGATCCGAAGCAGGGCCCAATTGGCTGCCACCGAAACGAAGGTGAGGGACAGGAAAAGAGCAATGGCCTGCATGGTCGCTTCAATTAAGGTCTCAAACTGTGGATACCATGTTCAGAAATTTCAAGATCCTCGTCGACCAGCCACATGAGTCCAGCGCAGGCTGCACAAACGGCCTCTGCAACGCAGCAAGAAAAGCACACAAAAGGCACCCGCAGCTTCTCAGCTCGCTGCGCAGGCCCACAAATCGTTCTGCACCATCTCCATGTAAAGCATAGAGCCCAAGAAGCCGACGCCGACCACTGCCTTGAAAGGCAGTGGTGAAACGGAACTCCGAAGGGCCGAAGCTGGGGCAGACACTCCCAGGATCACCAAGGAGAAGAACCAAGGATCTTCAGCCTTGCTGCCTGGAGGACCTGAGGCATGCGAGGCCTTCGAGGAGGATCTCCCATCCCTCATGCTCTGGGTGCCGCACATCGGAAGAGGGGCTTGCATCGCTTCGGAGCTTCCGTGCCGTAGGGGCAATAGTGGCCCTGGCAGTTGCGAGGCTGAGAATCTATGATGTACGATGCACAGAAATCTACGCTGACTACCCAGATCCTGGTTCACTGCAGATTTCGCTGCATACGGAGCCATGTCAACCGAGTCGACTAGAAGGCTCTGCAGCTGCAGGTGCTGTGTCGTCCTGTGCCGTCCCTTATTTGCAAAGTCAGGGTTCACTCTACATGCTGAAGCATCCCTTCATCTTCCCGCTTGCGCGGAATGCTCCTGCTGACCAAAGCCACTGCATGTACTCCGTTCTGCGACTGCAATTCAAACGATGACATGCTCGGAAGCATCCCCTCCCGAGTCTGCAACAGAACCCATGCGGCTGTGTGGCTGTGCTGCACTTTTCGCTGCGCGCCTTGGGGCAGAGGGCATCCTCCCCTGGCGGGCAGAAGCGTCCGGCCTGGCAGGCCTGAACGATGCCGCCGAGAGGGCAGTCCATGGATTCTCGTGCCAAGTGTTCCGTGTCGTGCCAATGATTCCTGAGTGCCCTGACCTGAGGGCTCTGTGCGCCCCGAGGACAATGGCCCCCTGCCGGACAAGGCCGGACCTGAGCGAGAGAGGAAGACACAGAGAGTCCGTGCACGAATGCGGATGTCCGCAAGGAAAATCGATGTCTCTGGGGGCAACTTGGGCCAGCAGTCGCGAGAGTGAAGAGATAGCGAACCCTCCATTGACGCAGCGAGATGAGGAACGCAACTGCCACTCCACTCCGCCAAACGTCGCCCGGCCGAGTGACATCTGCTGCCGGTATGGGGCAATAGAAGCCCAGTGGACACGAACCTGAGTAAGAGAGCGTTCTCTCAGAGCCATGCGATGCGCCACGCTGCACGCAGTCGGGGCCCGGCGGTCTTGAAGGCCCGTGCCCACGGGGCAGTGGTCGCCCGAGCTGCAACTGCGAGGCGGCTCCAAACCGCCGGCACAGTAGAAGCCTCTCTGCAGACACAGGGAATCCGTGCTCACTTTATGCCCCTTTCTGCATTCCTGATCATCCTATGCCAGTCCCTCCAAGGATCTCCATGTGCAGCAGCCGCCTGGAGGACACTTCTGAACCGTCGGCTCGGTGGCGGAAGTACCGAATGCTGCCACGCACTGCCCGGTTGCGTCCTCAGAGACACCCGGCTCCCGTCCGTCGAGGGCAAGGTTACGTGCGGCTGTGCCCAAAAGCCTCGGGTAGGGCTCGGGCCATGATGTACCATTCTCCCGGCTTTGCTGTGGAGTTCATGGTGTAGTTCATTGGCTCGGATGCAAGTAGCCAAACGACCCCGTTCACAAAGGAGCTGGAGCAATTGCCTCGGCTCGGTTGGCGAGCGCTCACGCAACGGCTTCAACTCCCGAACGTCTCTACATCTGCGAAGTGCACGGGTATCATCAGCGGCTGATTCAGGTAAAGGTGGAAGCCTTTGCGACCGGGCCACAGTATTGCCCATCAACGGTGCACTGCAAGCCCAAACCTCTCAGATGCATCTCTTTCAGAAGAAGCATAAGGCCACATGGCGTGTACATCGTGCCAGGCATCAAGCATGACTGCACTTCCCCATTCCAAGTTCAAACGGGCAGCTAGCTTGCAGAGACTCGTTCTCCTGCGGCGATGCCGGATGCTATGAGCAAACTCAAGCATACATTCGCTCGGCAACCTTTAGGATCTTTAGGTCAAAGGAGAAGCATTGCGTGTCATCGAGCGGGACACAGCTGTCTCTAGGCATAGGAGCGTCGCACTTCGACAGTGACCTGGTTCCTACTGCAACTTCTCGCGCGTGAGTGACAGCCCAGAGTCCTAACCAGTCTTAAGATCGTAAACTTTATGCTCATGCAACTATGTGCATCAGAATCATCCTAGACTGGCGACAGGACAAAGGGAAGGATGGACCATTCTGGCAGCATCCCTGGTAGTTGTAGCTTGGATCCTGGCAGGCACCTGCTGCTTACAATACCTCATGGTTGCAATATCAAACTCCCTCGGCTCCTGGGTAAGGACTTGGCAAACGTAAGCATGCGCAGAAGCCAGCAGCAACAAGCTCGCCGCTGCCTGGAAATATTTCTTGCTGTCCCAGCCACAGGCACAGATGCATTCCTCTTGAACTACAGCATGCACACAGCAAACCCAGGCACGTCCTGATGTTCATGTTGTCCCTGCCTTCATCATGCCCATAACGACCAGACTTGATGTAATCGCTGGTGCGATCACTGAAGCATCTTGTGTGCTGAACTCTAACTGCAAGTTGTACATAGCCATAACTTCTAAGTTCTAAGTGTGTCCTACGCTCGTCTGAAAACACGGTATGTGCAGAGTCTTCAGCCGAAGTTGTGGATCCAGCCATGTGGCGACGCCGGCTGCAATTTGTTATATAGCGCTGCTCCGGCTGACTGGGCGCTGATGACATGGTTCTTGAAGCCATTCGGCTGAGGGAAGCACCGTCGGATTCAGAAACGTCAAGTGTGCCTACAGCCAGGCGCCTTTGCACGCATGGTGTGCAGTGGACACTGTAGCACATCACATGCTGACGCACCATGCTCCTGCAGTTCATGAGGGGAGGAGAGCATGCTTTCACATGGTCACCCACCCTTCCTGTTTGGAAGGAAGGCAACTTAAAATGATGAACACTCTCACCTGTCGGTGTCTGCAGAGAGTGTCCCTGTGAGAAGCTGCGCTCTCAGAGCAGCAGGCTAGACGTAGCTGTCCTGCGGAGCGATGTGAATCGCACGTACAATCCTCAAAACCCAGGCCCAGCTCCTCGATCAGGTCGAGCTGTGCCGTTAGACCTCCCTTCATCACAGTCCTCGTCATGCCGTGCACTACACTTCAAACAACACGACGGCACCGCGACAAGTTGACAATAGCTACTTCCCCATGTGAACCTAGCTTTGGCCTGGCACGGCAGCTGCATGCACCACATCGTTACCTGCTGCTCCTGCTGTTGCTGCTGCTGCTGCTGCAGGCAGCCCGCTCTCACATTGTGCCACCGATCATTTTGTGCACTGAGCACGATGCTTGATGTAGTAGTAGCCAAAGTCTCCCAACAGCAGCATGTGTAGGGCATTCGCTCCCAAGATCACCTCCGGGCAACAGGATTTTACAAGGCTTGGACCAACAGCTGCACTTCGGCCATCTTCGGCTTGCCAGGAGCTGCTTCTGAGACGTTGGCCCAGATGGCATGGTTGTAGCCAGGCACCCATGGGTCACACGTGATGTCGAAGCGCGCGTGCCACATGAAGACACCTGACAACGGAAGTGACACGCATGCAGCTTATGCAGTTACTCCATTGAAAGCACAGCCGGACTGAGGCGTCCGCCGCTCAAGGCACGGCTGATGGCCATGGCCGCAATGTAGTGGCTGGTGAGGGGCCTGGGAAGCCCAACAGGAGCTGTCGCACAATGCACGGGGCGACAGGAAGGAGGAACAACATCACGGAAGTCGTGAGCGATCTGCAGCGGCCATAGAGATGGCAGCCCAAGCACACTCGGTCCGTGACTCAACTTTCCCGCCAGTCTTGGAGATCAGCCACAGCTGGCAAGCAAGAGCAGGCAAGCGCAAATCATCCCTCTGCTTCATGTCATGTCCGCTGCTACAGTATTCCCGCAATGTGCTGTCTCTTGGTGGACACTGCGGCTATCATCACATTCACAGCACTGAAGTGCTCACCAGGCCTGAGGCAAAACCGCAACGGCGCTGATGAACAAACCTGCTGCAACGAAGAGATGGGAACCACATCCACTTGTGCACGCTACACTGCTTTTTGCATGGCAATGACCTGCCACACAGAGCACCGCACCTGCCATCCACAGGGTGTCAAACACGGGTCGCGCGTTCATGTCCTCAGCCCATCAATACCAAAGTCAGCAGGCACAGCTCCCCTGCTCACGCTTCAAGTAACCACAAGGAAACATCCCACGATGACTACTGACTACACTGAGCATTTTTCCCAGGTAAGGGGCTGATTGTCATGATCGGCTTTGTCAATTAAACCTTGCAGATTGTTCAGAGGGGCGTGTGCCTGTGTGGCCTGTGAGGTTGCGCAATCCGCAGTCCAATGCCCATCAGCGAAAGCATATTCATGCGATACAAAAGCAAGCAAGTCGCTTTGGCTGAAGATGTGGCAGCAGAATTTCCGTCGATGCTGAACTAGAGGCAACACTAGTAAGGGTGCGACCGCATGAAAGATTGCTGCCAGCACGAGACAGGCCAGTACCTTTCATCGCCACACGTCGTCGAGATTGAATTCAACGATGATGCGCCACGGATTTCACTGGATGCATCATGTCTTGCAGCCTGTTTCTTCAAACACAGTACAAGTGTTCGACATGCTGCAATGTGCCGAATGTGCCGACTGATCATCTGTGCAAAACGTGAGATCATCTGTCACAAAACGTGATCAGGGCACCACAGGGGTTGCGGGAAAGGTGTCCTGCGGGATTTAGGAAGCGAACTCGTGAACTTGCCACGCGAGCACTGTTCTCCTGCTTTCATCCTGCGAAGCTGCTGCAAGTCCGGCGTCTGGTCCTGCTCTTCCTGATAGGTGTGCTTCTTCTCAAAGAACAGCGAGTGCCTCTGCTGCGAGAAATCCAGCAGTTCACGCATGCGGAAGTATTGCGATTGTTTCTTCCTCCAAGCTCAGGGAATCCTTCACTGTGCTAGGCAAGACAGCAGGGACGGGAAGGTCTATCATCAGTATCCAAAGCACCTATGATTTATTTGGCCAAGGTGCAACAGCCAGAGCACCAAGACAAGCGACACGACATCCACCGCCTGCAGCAAATGAGCATGCTGGAGTTCATGCGACTCGCATGAGCATGAGCGATCCAAGACTGATCCAAGCACCCCTGAACTGCATCAGATGACGTCGTCCCAACTTCCGCTTTGATGCGGGCGATGACGTAATTCCAGCTTCCGCTTTGATGCCACTCAGCTGAGCATTCGTGCATGAGTGACACCTTATCGCGACCCGGGTGGCAGTTCCACCAGGCATTGTGCAAGTGGTGGTCCCAAAGCCTCCAAGTTGCATCTCGGCAAACCATGTCCTTGCAAACGTTACGTCACGTTGTTGACTTGCTCCTTGGCTGGGCTTCTTGCTCATGTCCGATGTGCTTACGTCTGTCGACTCTGCTTTGTGATGTCACGCAATTTCGGGCGGCTTCGGCAAGCCATGGCAAGCCATGCTGGGTTCAGCCACTATCGACCAGCAGCTAGCTGTAGCACATCTGCTTCAAGCACATCGGGGTGAGCCATGGTCATCCTCCCTCTATCCTCGGGCTTCCTCCCCACGAGAGCCCGCGTGCTACAAAGCCTCAGCAAGCCCGGCATGAGTTCTCGTCCTGCACATTCCTCCACCCCTGGTCCTCCTCCTCCCCCTCCTCCTCCTTCTGCTCCTCCTCCAAATCATCATCACTAGTTACTAGCATTGTCAGAAAGCCCCCTGGCTCTGGGGTCTCTGCTTGCCTCTCCGTAGCTGGCCTAGGCATGCACAGAGTCGGTGGCGGCCTGGTAGGCCCAGTCGCCAGATGCGTCCACGGGCAGGTAGCCATGAAGCCACAAACTGTCAGGAGATGCCGAAAAGTCTGCGATGCTGCTGCAAGCGAGCTGCATGAGCACGACCAGCAGGTCCGGCTCTCGACTCACGCCGGGGCCCGGGCGTGGAGGACAGGCGAAAGCACAAAGCCCAAGCCTGAGCCCAAAGCAGCGCACGGGTCAACCGCGGCCTGGGACCCTGAGAGAGCCTTCTCGGCCAACTGGGCTCCACACGTCCAGCGCCAAAGCCCAGGCCGAGATGCCAGTGCAGGTGCCCTCAGTGCTGCCGTCACTGTGTGCGGCGCCTCGCTGCATGCTCGCACCTATTCCATCCTATTCCTGCTAAGCCCCACACGGTGAGCAGAACCTGCACGCAGAGCAAGGCGAAGCCCAGGCACTGGAAGATGACCTGTGCTCAGAGCTAGGTCGACTCAGACGATTCGCCAGAGACTAGCTCAGCTAGGGGCTGCCAACGTCAGGATCGCAGAGAACCTCGTCTGGCTTTTGTGGCTGCGTAGCTCGATCTAGCAAACCCAGCGTGATCGTGCTGGGCTTCGTGCTCGCCGTTCGCGATGAAGCGGTAGACTGCCAGCGCGGCCGTCAGAAAGACACTGGCAGGTCAGGCAGGTCAGGCTTTCGGTATTGGTAAGGTCTTGAACTATTCGGATGGGATGCATCAATGAATCTGCCGATGAGAACTGCCCATTGATGGAACGGCGGCAAGCCGTGTGAGGATCTACACGATGTACAGTTCTTGCAACTGGCCAGCAGCGCCCGTAGGCAGTAATCACCTGTTCACAAAGCACATAGCACGTACTGTATTCGGCTGAATACTGAACAGGTCAACCTGGAGTCAACGAGACACGTTGACCCAGTCGAGAATGTGCATGCACAGAACTGATCCTCTACAGCACAGCCGCGATTCCGCACCCGGCCAGGCCTTGTTAGGGGGTGCCTTCTTGGCCATCATGGAGAGGGATGCTGTAGAGAGCATGGTGCAAATGGCCTGCTCACTCCAACATAGTGCAACGTCGAGGTTTGCCTTTCGGACCACTTCAGGAATCTTCTTCAACTTCCTGGAGGCTTGCCGGTTCCGCGATCCTGCCTGGAGAACGTAGAGGTATGAACGGGGAGACCTCGGCTCCGAAGAGCAGCGTATCCCGGGGCCCCAGAGTCTTAGCTCAGGCCAGTGCGGCCTCGCAGTGTGCGCGGACCTTCCTGTCAAGGCCCAGCTCGGCCCAAGACGAAGTCAAATCGCAAACGCACCTCGCCTTCCTTGTGGATGGGATCAAGGCTAGGCTTGAGCCCGAAAGAGCTAAAGAAGCAAACAAGAGCTGATGGAACCCCGAGATCTTGCCGAGCCCTCAGTCTGAGAAAATGTCGTTCTACTTTTGCGCCGCTATGCTCATCTTCCCAGAAGGAGCCATTCATGAAAGGAGGGGAAGTCCACTGCATGTCATGATAGACTCTTTGCAGAGCTAACGAAGAAGATCTTCCAATTCTTCCCCACCTTCCTGCGTTTGCAGTGAACTTTCCTCTAGGAAGTCGCGCCCTCACCGCTACGCTGCTACACGTAGCTGTCCTGCACTCGGGGAAGGAGCAAGAACAAAGAGAGGAATGCCGAAAGTTGTCTCAGCTCCTGGATGAGATCCAGCTGTGCTGTTAGGCCTCCCTTCATGACAGTCCTCGAGTGCTGGCGAAGCTAGAGATTGGAACATCACCACGGCACACTCTCCGGAAGCAGATCCCTACGCACTAAGTTGCACCTGGCGCACAACTTTGCTCTTTGGCGGAAACCCACATTTGTCTGAGCACTGGGCTTGATGTAGTAGTAGCCAAAATCTCCCAAAAGCAGCATGTGGAGAGCATGTGCTCCCAAGATGACCTCAGGACGCCAACACATAACGGCAGCCCACCCATTCCATCTCTCGCTCAGCCGTGCTAGCTGAGCCATGGACCCAGATGGCATGGTTGAATCCGCCCACCCATGGGGCACAAGTGATGTCGAAGCGCGCATGCCACATGAAGACACCTGACAACGGAAGTGACACGCATGCAGCTTATGCAGTTACTCCATTGAGAGTACAGCCAGACTGAGGCGTCCGCCGCTCAAGGCACGGCTGATGGCCATGGCCGCAATGTAGTGGCTGGTCAAGGGCCTGGGAAGCCCAACAGGAGCTGTCGCACAATGCACGGGGCGACAGGAAGGAGGAACAACATCATGGAAGTCGTGAGCGATCTGCAGCGGCCATAGAGATGGCAGCCCAAGCACACTCGGTCCGTGACTCAACTTTCCCGCCAGTCTTGGAGATCAGCCACAGCTGGCAAGCAAGAGCAGGCAAGCGCAAATCATCCCTCTGCTTCATGTCATGTCCGCTGCTACAGTATTCCCGCAATGTGCTGTCTCTTGGTGGACACTGCAGCTATCATCACATTCACAGCACTGAAGATACTGAAGTGCTCACCAGGCCTGAGGCAAAACCGCAACGGCGCTGATGAACAGACCTGCTGCAACGAAGTGGTTTTCTCAGATGCAACTCGGCCAGCTTCAAGCGGTGCCAGAGCGACGATTGGGAAAAGGGGGGAAGGGCGAATATTCAGGCCCCCCATGCACGAGCACTACAGCAAAAGCAACCATGCTTCACTTGTCTTCACTTGTTTTTACCTTCCTTCGTGGTGCGAGCTGCGCCTGCCATCCATAGCGTATCAAAGATTGGTCGCGAGTTCATGTCCTGAGCAGGGAATGTAGAGGCAGCATGTCGCGCGAACACAGATCCAATGCAGAACATTTACAACGTGGCCCGGTGCTCGATGCAGGTGAAATTGCTGTGCCTGTCGCCTGAGGATCCAGCGGCATGAAAGGCAACTGCCAGTGCAAGGCAAGCCAATACCTTCAGGTCACCAAGCGGCTTTCATGAAGGACGGCAGAGGGAAGACTTGCGAAAACAAAATAAAGCAGGGCACCACAGGGGTTGCCGGAAACGTGTCCTGCAGAATTGAAGTCGTACTCCTACCTTCAGGCGCAGATGCTCAAACACGCACGGTGACGAACGTCTAGTCCTGCTCTTCCTGATACGTGTGCTTCTTCTCAAAGAGCAGCGAATGCCTGTGACGGAAATGTGAATCACTTCATGTATGCGCGGATGAGAAGTCTCCTTCTGCAGAAATAAAGCATGGATCTATTCGATGATTACCAAAAAACTAGTAACTATTCTCGAATCGCAGTACTGCTGTCTGATAACGGATTTCGCCGCGACCCCTAGGCCAAGATGCAGCAGCCAGAGCACCAAGACGAGGGACACAATGTCCACCGCCTGGCCCAAGCAATGACCCGGCAAAAAGAGTGTGGTGGTGCTGCAGCCTGAGTGACAAAAGCAAAGCCGTGCGAAACAAACGCACTGTCACTGGCTCAACGGATGCAACAAGAACGTCGTCCGGGGTCTTCTGACATGCGACGCGGAACCTCGGACGGTCACAGGCCACCTTCTCTGCCAGAGTGTCTCCACAACGTAAGACTCGAGTTGCTTAGTCCACAAAGGATCACATCGCTGCGTACGCCGAGAATCGTCGAGACAGGGCTGCATAATCAATGTACAAGTTTAGTGTGACAGGCGCTCATCACGGAACTCGAGCAAGCCATGCATGAAATTCAACATCCTGCACAACACCCCTTGCCTCAAATCGCAATCAGATGGTTGATCCTGACTGAAGACTCATCACGGAGCTTCAGAAAGCCATGCATGAAAGTCGTTGTCATCCCGTCGAGAATTTGCACACAGATTGAACAACCGACTGCAAAAGATCACGCAAGCCAGCCGTGCGTCAAAACGCCATCAGATGGTTGATCCTGACTGAAGACTCATCACGGAGCTTCAGAAAGCCATGCATGAAAGTCGCCGTCATCCCGTCGAGAATCCCATGCACACAGATTGAACAACCGCCCGCGAAGAAGATTACACAAGGCAACCGTGCGTCAAATTGCCATCAGATGGTTGATCCTGACTGAAGACTCATCACGGAGCTTCAGAAAGCCATGCATGAAAGTCGCTGTCATCCCGTAGAGAATCCGTTGCATACAGATTGAACAACCGCCTGCGAAAAAGAATTCGCAAGCCAACCCTGCGTCAAATTACCATCAGATGGTTGATCCTGACTGAAGACTCATCACGGAGCTTCAGAAAGCCATGTATGAAAGTCGCTCGAGAATCCCTTGCACACAGATTGAACAACTGCCTGCGAACAAAAATACGCAAGGCCAACCCTGCGTCAAATTACCATCAGATGGTTGATCCTGACTGAAGACTCATCACGGAGCTTCAGAAAGCCATGCATGAAAGTCGCCGTCATCCCGTAGAGAATCCGTTGCATACAGATTGAACAACCGCCAACGAAAAAGGTTATGCAAGCCAACCGTGCTTCAAACTGCCATCAGATGGTTGATCCTGACTGAAGACTCATCACGGAGCTTCAGAAAGCCATGCATGAAAGTCGTTGTCATCCCGTCGAGAATCCCATGCACACAGATTGAACAACCGCCTGCAAAAAAAGATCACGCAAGCCAGGCGTGCGTCAAAACGCCATCAGATGGTTGATCCTGACTGAAGACTCATCACGGAGCTTCAGAAAGCCATGCATGAAAGTTGCCGTCATCCCGTTGAGAATCCGTTGCATACAGATTGAACAACCGCCAACGAAAAAGGTTATGCAAGCCAACTGTGCTTCAAATTGCCATCAGATGGTTGATCCTGACTGAAGACTCATCACGGAGCTTCAGAAAGCCATGCATGAAAGTCGTTGTCATCCCGTCGAGAATCCATGCACACAGATTGAATAACCGCCCGCAAAAAAGATCACGCAAGCCAGCCGTGCGTCAAAACGCCATCAGATGGTTGATCCTGACTGAAGACTCATCACGGAGCTTCAGAAAGCCATGCATGAAAGTCGCCGTCATCCTCTCAATTTCCTGAACATGCAGACCGCAAAGCTACTGGGCACAAGATGGCACAAGCTGCATGGTGACAAATGACAAATCGCGATCAGATGGTTGATCCTGACTGAAGCCTCATCATTGAGCTTCAGAAAGCCATGCATGAAAGTCATCCTCATCCTGTCGACGGCTTTCAACATACTAGCACAAGTACAATTCAAAAAACCACCGCCGCAAGAGATGCCACAAGCTCCGTTGCGACAAAACGCTATCAAATGGTTCATCCGGAGACTCATCACGGAGCTTCAGAAAACCATACATGAAAGTCGCCGTCGTCCCGTCGAGAATCCCTTGCATACAGACGGAATAACCGCTCGCGGAAAGACACTGCACATGCCATTGCGCATGCCCCCGCTTGCGACACACCGCCCCAGATGGTCGTCGTCATCCCGTCGATGTCTTCAACATGCCAACCGAAAAGCCACTTGTGCAAACCACAAGCTCCGTTTCGACACTGCGCCATCTGAGAAACCCTGCATGAGTCGTCGGCATCCTGCCAACTGCCTTGTGAATGCACACCCCGACGATACTCGAAGACAATGCCACACGCTCGTCTCGACAGTTCGCCATCAAACGAAGGCTGCTTTTGCATGAACGTCGTCGTGATTCAAAGGACTGGCATCCCGCTTCTGCTGAGCCAATCACAATCCAACCGGCTGCATCTGTGGAAGACTCGTCCATGAATTGGGCAACGATCGCTACTACCAGTAGCAGGAACCTTGATTCCGCGCAGTGCTTCCCCACAATCATTCCTATGTCAATGTAAATAGCCAGGCTCGAATCCGATGGCCTGGTAGGCCCAGTCGCCAGAGGCATCCACCGGCAGGTAGCCGTTCAGCCACAAACTGCCAAGAAATTGCAAATTAACAAAACATTTCCGAGCTGCTATCGTCTATACATGCCATCTCACAGCAGGTCCGGCTCTCGACTCACGCCGGGGCCCGGGCGTGGAGGACAGGCGAAAGCACAAAGCCCAAGCCTGAGCCCAAAGCAGCGCACGGGTCAAGCGCGGCCTGGGACCCTGAGAGAGCCTTCTCGGCCAACTGGGCTCCACACGTCCAGCGCCAAAGCCCGGGCCGAGATGCCAGTGCAGGTGCCCTCAGTGCTGCCGTCACTGTGTGCGGCGCCTCGCTGCATGCTCGCACCTATTCCATCCTATTCCTGCTAAGCCCCACACGGTGAGCAGAACCTGCACGCAGAGCAAGGCGAAGCCCAGGCACTGGAAGATGACCTGTGCTCAGAGCTAGGTCGACTCAGACGATTCGCCAGAGACTAGCTCAGCTAGGGGCTGCCAACGTCAGGATCGCAGAGAACCTCGTCTGGCTTTTGTGGCTGCGTAGCTCGATCTAGCAAACCCAGCGTGATCCGTGCTGGGCTTCGTGCTCGCCGTTCGCGATGAAGTGGTAGACTGCCAGCGCGGCCGTCAGAAAGACACTGGCAGGTCAGGCAGGTCAGGCTTTCCGTATTCGAACTGCTTCTCGTGTCTCGACTGCTCCGTCAAGCCGGACTTCTTGCGTAGCTGAACACGAGGGGAATTTGCCAGCGGTGCCCGTACGCCGTCATCACCTCGCATTGTCATCGGCCGATAAGGCTGCTGCAGGGTGACACATCAAAAAAATAAATTTGATAAGCATCAAAAAATAATTTACCACGGTAGACATCAAAACAATTGCTAAGCATCTAAAAAATATTTGAAAAGAGGGTTTAGGCTTTAGACGGCAGCCATCAAAAACAAATTTGATAGGCATCAATAAAAAAATTGCATGGAGGGTTCAGGATTTTTCAAGGTGTTTGTCAACTTGTTTAAGATGCTTATCAATTTTTTTGATGCCTATGCCCTGCTGCAGCCAAGCGTTTGACTCAGGAGTTTCGTGCTTGCAGGTGAGAATCACAAATCACACGCTGCAGAATCTACACATCGTGAATAACTAAATCATGACTAACAACATCAGTCTACTACTGCAGGTGATATGCTGCACGCGGGCCTTGTTGGGGGGTGCCTTCTTGGCCATCATGGAGAGGGATGCTGTAGCGAGCATGGCGCGAACGGCCTGCAAGCAAGACAAAGGATGCAAAGTCAGGAGAGCTGCCCGCACGACAGAAACCTGGCCTGGAGAACGTAGAGGTATGAATGGGGAGACCTCAAGAAAAGCCAGAAGCTATCGTCAAGGCTTCCCATAGTCAGATCAAAGATGCTTTCCTGAGGCTTCCATTTCATGTCTCCTCTGCGATTCTGAGGCCGAACTCAGGCCGGTGCGGTCGCAGGGTGCGGACCTTCCTGACAAGACTCACCGTTGTTGTCTCTGCAGCAAGGACTGCCCGGCTGGCTTGCCTTCCTTGTGGATGGGACCAAGGCGAGGCTTGAGCCCGAGAGAGCTGCCAATAAGCGTAGCCTAGTGAGTACAGAGCCCACGACACACTTCGAGCTTCGGATGCGAGCTACTAGTATCATTCATCGAGCAAGTTTGAGCGGTGCGCATCTTTTCTTCAAAGCACTGTGCATTCTTTGCCGCTCATGCTTTGGAGACTCTGAAGAGTTCCTCAGATTGCTCCACACTGCATGCGCTGATGTGGCACTGTCATGCTTCGCATCAATGAGCTTCGGCAAGCTTCTGCTATCAGTCAACAGGTCGACAAGCAAGTGCATGCGAAAAGCAGGATACAAACCATGTAGATGCAATGCCTGACCTCGAAAGGTCGTAGGTGTGGCAAGTCTTCGAAACGACGGCTCTGTGCTGCTACTCGACAATGCTGGCAGTAAAAGCTGCCCATCTTCCAATGAAAGCCGAGCTGCGCTTGATCTGTGCTTCTTGATCGATCTTTGCTAAGCCGCTCCTCGGGACACTGAATCGCACCTAAATCCAATGCACCAGCGCAGGTACTCATCGTTTGCAAGGGGTCGGACTTTTCTGTGGCAAACTTCTATCTGAAAACTGGAAGAGAGGCTTGCCTTCCGCAGAGTTCCAGCATTCTGCACCCGTTCAGTTTCCAAGCCTGGAATCCGAGACCTGTTCAGAGGCGAATCCCGCCCAGTTGCTGCTCACCCTCCCCCACCCTCCACCAGCAGTCAAACCCCGAAGTTAGGCAGACCTCGACTCAATTGTCAAACCGCCTTCCCATCAAACCCTCAAGTTGCTGTCAAGCCGCGTAGTGGCCAACTAGCCTTGCCTGAGTCATGCGGGGTAGAACGTTTTGTCTTTGCTGAACGCTGGGCTCAAGCTGCTGGATGCCGAGTAGGCTGGTGCTTATGTACATGTGCATGTATACATGCGTACATACATACATACATACATACATACATACATACAAAACACCCAGGCATACATATTGCCACCCCCCTCCCCCACTACTCCATGGTATCCTCCCCCCCTGCCGCCCCCACCCCCACCTGTGCCCTTCCCCGCCTGCGTGTAACACAAGGACCTGTTGTCACGATTAGTGACTCAACTACTGTTACGTGGAACTTTAAGAGCAATTGTTCTGATCTACTCCACCACCATTCATGTCTACAATATGGTCGTGTTATCTTCCTTCTTGCTGTGGCACCGGTGGTACTGCTCATGATGTTGTGCTGTTCTAGACGGCGACGCGAGTCGACAATCAGATCATCTTTGACATCATGCTCAACATCATCATTGCCGGCATCATCTTCATCATATAGCTGCCACCATCACCATCGCCATACAGCCCTCATAATTAAGCATTGTAATACATGTCTGATGCGAGCAACTACTGCGCAGATTGCCGCTTTCCGCACAGTTCAGGGGTGGGGTCCCACTTTTTGGGGGGAGGGGGGGAAGTGGCGGGCAACCCCAAGTCGCACCAGGGGTGGGGTACCGGGGGGCGGTACGATGGAGGGGGGGTGGGATTGGGGGGCCGGGACCCGAGAGCATACATACGCGATTTAAGCCCAGGATGGAGACTTCTGGGGTGGCACGGTCGCAACTCTCTTGCGATTTCTTGAAATGTCACTTTTCTCTCGTGCGCGTCATACCGCCTCAACCCCTGCTGTCTGGATTGCGATGCGCGGGCAAAACATGTCACTCTGGCACTGTTGGACGGAGCAGCCGTGCTTCTTCTGCGCTGCTGCGTGGCTGTGCACCAATCCTCAGAGCAGGGTCCAGTGAAGGCTTCAGTCTTCAGTTGTCACACGGTGCAAAGCGCAGAATCCATGCTTGGGTGTACACGTACATACACACGCCACGAAACAAAACCACAGAAAAGCCACCTGGAACGCAGAGCGTATCGCTGCCACATCGGCGCCCTGTGCATAGAGCATGATGAGGGCTATGAGCCGACTGCCTTGGAACGCATGGCATTGGCACCGATGTGGATGCACAAGTTCAGTATGAAGTTGGAAAACGATGTCGCATCGAACATCGAGATGCACACGGAACAAGATCAAGGTAGCAAACCAGAGAATCGTTGAGGTTGCATTTCGGAACAATTCAGAACGGGCCGTCAAGGTTGTAGACATCTCCTTGATATCTTCGGTACTCTTCGGTTGTGCAGCCAATTTCGGCCGTAGGGAAGCTCTAGACTCCAGTTAGTTGGAAGACTTAAGCACAAGCATTTTCAGAAGTTGCAACGCACAATTTATCTGCTGCTCGCGGTTAAATGTTCCGATCATGCTCACCATCATTACCGTCGTCATCCTAAACATCGCTTTACCAGTGCTACTACGCTACGACTAGCCGAGGCAGTAATAGTAGCGGTAGCAGAGCAGCAGGAATCGCAGTGGCGGCGGTGGTGGTGATCGTCATGGTGGTAGCAGTAGGATTCGTTGCGGTAGTCGTAGTAGTCGTCATAATAGTAGTAGAGACTGGGCCCACGCGGCGCCCCCACTGATTCCTGTGTTTTGCTCTCGAATTTTTGATTATGCTCTCATCTTGCTTCCGGAGGGGTGCAGGTTGGGGGACTTAATGGCGTGCTTGCTCCACCACAGCTACTAGAAACGGAACATGGCGATGGGAAAAGTTAAGTTCAGCATTCTGTCGTGCGCATGCATGCTGACCTTCTTTATGTCATGCTAAATCATGCTAATCCTGCTGATTAATGGTTGCAGCATTCGGGTCTTGCTCCTGAGGTGGGCTGCTATCTCAAACTACCGACGAGTGACTCGGGAATGGGCGACAAAAGAATTGTCGTGGGTGTCTGATCCATTGTGACCAGTGTCGTCTGATGTCGTCGCACAAGGATAGGAGAAACTAAACCACTAACATAACCGGAATGAGAAGTAAACCACTACGCAATGCGACTCTTATCTCAGAATTGAGCCATTCGCAGTTTCGCACAAAATGGCCTGAGTCATGCTTGGCCTCGAGACAAACATATGACGACATGCACGTGCCGACGTGCCACTACAATACAACTCTAGCACGTTGCTGGGCAGCCCCGACGCCCTTCTTTCTTTTGGCTTTCTTGCTTCGAGGTCTTAGCTTTGCTCTGCCCAGTGGCGCTTCCTAATCGTCCTCATGCACAGCGCTCATATCACACGCATGTTACGTGTGCGGGTGTGTGTGTGTGTGCATGTCGAGTAAAGCTAGTTCTTGAAGGGAGTTGGGCCTGCGACTTCTAATTGCATACAAAAGCCTTCTTGATATCACGGGTATGCCGGGTTCCTACCAACAAATTCCAAAGAAACATCTGCGCCATTTGTTCGAAAACCGTCGATGCCAAAACTTGACATGACTGCGAACAGTTCACTGGGATTCACACTACTTTCGGATTGTTGGCTCAACTCTGACGTAGTTGAACTTCGAAACTACATAGTTTGTCCCCCAAAAGAATTTGGCCCTGAATGATACATGTTTACTTTTTCAACTACAGAAGTACTGAAATTTACACTACTTCACGCACTTCCACATTACCGCGACTTTGCTCTTGACACCGGGCGCCCAGTGAGCGCGGTGCATCGTCGTCGTCGTCGTCGTCGTAGTAGTAGTAGTAGTAGTAGGAATAGCAGTAGTAAAAATAGTAGTAGTAGTAGTAGTAGTAGTAGTAGTAGTGGTAATAGTAGTAGGAGAAGTAGTAGTAGTAGTCATAATAGTAGTAGTCATGGTCGTAGTGGTGGTGGTGTAGTAGAAGTAGTAGTAGCAGT